TCAGTAGGTAGGCCACTCACAGTCAGGAGAATGGGGCTAGTGGTGTCCCTACTTGGGGGCCATGTAGTCTGGTACTCAATGAGAGGAAAACGGCTCCTACTCCAGTGCTATACTACTGAGCCTCTGCCAGAGTCTCCAACTCTATCTAGCTCCTCCAGAAGGAATGCACTGCAGATCAGGTTGGGTGCATGAGCTATCTCCTCTGCAGGAGCAAGCTCAGCAGGGCAGAGGCATGGGGACTCAGAACAGATCAAAAGGATCTTCCATTGAAGGTGCTAGCTGAGTCTGTAGGAAGAGGCCAAGCACTTGGTCCTGGTCCCAGAGAACAGCCTCTGAGGGAAACATACTTTGAATGTCCCAGCTCTGAGCAGCACTACGTTTCCCCCACGGAGCTGAGCTCAGCAGGGGCGGGGGGCACCGGGACTTGAGAGGGCAGATCCAAACAGTCTCTCATTGGGGGTGGTGTCAGCAAGCCTGTAGGAGGGGGTGAGGAACTATTTCCCTTTCCTAGGCAAAAGAATCTGACATGCAAAGAAGGTCCTGGCTCTGAGCAGCTCTCAGATCTTGTTCCCTCACCCCTCCATGGGACTTGGCTCAGCAGGGCAAGGCCTCCAGCTGCTACCAAGGCAGGTCAAATGAGTCTCCCATTGAGGTAATACCATAGGCTGGGCTTATAGGGGAGCTAGGAGTGGCCAGACAACCCAGATCCTCCACATCTGAGTCCTGGACAAAAGTCCCAGCTCTGCCAGATCCTCTGAGGCCCCTGCAGCACTGAACCCAGCACGGCAGACCCACTAGGAGTAGAAGGGCAGGCCAAGTGTTTTGACAGGTTGGGGGGAGGTGCCAGTTCTAAGCTCAAGGTGGGGAAGAATGGTCCCCTTTCCAAATACACATAGTTCAATCACTCTCTGAGTCTCCACCAAGAGCTTTTCCAGAAAAGAGCTCCCCAAAGGTCCCTCCTGGGTGCAGCCAGCAGACCCCTCTGTATGACCTGAGAACAGCAGAATGATGTTGCCAACAGTGCACTGCCCAGGCCTGTGCTGTAACAAAGGTGCTTAACTCTGGGAAGGTGGTGTCTGGATCTCCAGCAGACACTTTTCTCTCTCAGGCAGAATGAATCCCCACTGATTTTCACCTCCAGATTTTATGAGAGTTCCTCTTCCCATCTCTTTTGCTCTGGGTTGGGGATCCCTGCATGGTGTTGATTCCACACTCCTGGTGTGATGGAGTTTTGCAGCCAAGATACCCCTCTGGCTCCTTTGCTGCTGCATACAGGTGTGGAATCCAAACCTTTCTGCGTCTCCACCCTTCTCACTGGTCTCTATGTGGCTTCTTCTGTAATTCCTTGGTTATAATATTTCAGTTCAGCTAGTCTTCATTTGGTTATTCAGGGTGATTGATTTAAAATTTAGCTGTAAATCTGGTTTGGTACTAGGAGCAGGTGAGTGCAGCTTTCACCTACTCTGCAACCATCTTAGAATCTCCCTAACTGACTTTAAACTTTGCATATAATCAAGTTAATCTTTGTGCTGGAAAGGTAAGCCTTGGCAAATGTATAGTGTCATGTCTCTTCCATTATAGTATCACATGGAATAGTTCCGCTGCTCCAAAAATTTCCCTGGGCATCACCTAGTCCACCCTCGCTGACCTTGAAGTTATGGCAGGCACTACTCTGTTTGTAATCTTTATAGTTAACCTTTACCAGAATGTGATATAAATGGAATCATAGTATGGAGCCTTCTCTGGCTTCCTTCACTTAGCAACATGCCTTTGAGAGTCATCCATGTCTTTGTGTGGCATGGTAGCTAATTTTTCTTTTCTCTGATGAAGTACTATTCCAATAGTGTGAATGTACCATTTCTTACTTATCCATTCACATCCTGAAGAACATTTTGGTTACTTCTATTTTTCGTGATTATTAATGAAATTTTTATGAACATCTGTGTGCAAGTCTTGGTATGGATATGCTTTAAAATCAGTTGGATAAATATGTAAGAGTGCAAGGGGTGAACTGCAGAGTAAGGCTGTTTAGCTGTGTAAGAAACTACCCATCTGCCACAATGCTTGTATCATTTTGCATTTCCATCAGTAATAAATGAGAGTCCATGTTGTTCTGTATCCTCCTTGTCAACATTTTACTATTGTCAGTTTTTTTAAATTTAAAAATTCATACTAATAGGTGAGCAGTGGTATCTCATCTATTCATTTAATGCTCACTTGAGGACATTTTTCATTGCTTTGAGAGAGAGATGGAGGGGGTGGGGAGAGAGAGACAGATAGACGGACGTCAACTATTTAGTTGCCTTCTTATATGTGCCCTGACTGAGGATAGAACCTGCAATCTGAGTATATGCCCTGAACGGGAATTGAACCCACGACCTTTCAGTACACAGGACGACTGGACAGGGTGGGTATCTCAGTTTCAGTTTGTATTTCCCTAATAACAAATGATATTCAGTATCTTTTCATATGATTATGTTATGCATACTTCTTTGTTATAGAGTTCATTCTGATCTTTTGCTCTATTTTTAATTGATTGTTTGCTTTCTTATTGTTGAGTACAGTACATTGTAGATACAAGTCCTTTATTGAATATGTGTCTGTGGCTGGTATTTTTATTAACAGTGCAGAGCAGTTAATTATTAAGTCTAACTTATGGCTTTTTTCTTTCATGGATATTTTTGGTGTTGTATCTACAAAAATCATCATTAAATTCAAGGCCTGTGGCCTATATTTCTCTTACTTTTTTTCTAGAAGTTTTGTAGCTTACATATTGCAGGCTTTTGATCAGTTTTTCATTGATTTTTGTGAAAGATGAGCCAGTGTTCTGTTTCTTACAAGGTTCTCCTTAAAACACTGCTCCAAAGAGGCTCATTTTCTGGAGTTTTAGCATAAAAATCAGAGTCAGTGTTGTTAAGAGTCAACAGCACTTCCTAGCTTTTGAAGTTAATATTTAGTGGTGTCAGCAATATAGGTGCAATGCCCAGATTTGGGGGAGAAACCTCTTTCCTAGTAACCTGCTATTGCCTGGCCACATCTATGGTTTAGTAAGTGCCACTGCGGGTGGGGGGGGTGGCCGGTTTGATTTAATAGTGACATTGGTGTGCTGGAATTCATCTAGAGGCTGAATGCCATGATACCCCTGGCATTCAGCCTCTGTATTCAGATATAGCAAGGGTACCCTTGCTATAGCTGTTTTCCTGATATGTCTATTTCTCTGTCTCCTTCATCCTGGACACTGAACAACTTGTAAGCAGGAAATGCGTATTTTCATCCCTTACGCACAGGGCTTAGCCCTTAGTATGTGCTTCATAAATAGTTAGTTCAGTGAAGAAGTTCAGGATGTTTAATGTATAAAATAAGCATTCCTTGGGCGACACATCCCTTTGAATAGCTACCATATCTCTTGGGCAGAGGAGGCACGATGATTATCATCAAATAATTATCATTCAGGAGAGGGATTAGAACCAAGGCAGAAGTCATAGAGCTACAGAATTTCAACCCATTATATGTAAGTGGAGGCTGCTCTATGATGAACCTGCAATCACAAAAAATGTTTGTGAGGGATATTAGGGGAGGAGGGCTCTGCATTGAGAAGGGGAGGGAATGAACCACTTTCTCTACCTTTCAACTCTGATGTTCTGTGGGGTCTAACAGATTTAGTACAGTGTCAGGGTAAAAACTTCAAAAGCCCTAAGAACAGGACTAATTATGGTGTGCCATCTCATTTGTAATTCCAAATAAAACCAAAACTGTATTATAAAGTACGCTAGGAATTCCAATGAAGTTCACGTGTTCTCGTGATTAATTATCTTTTTTTTAAGATAATAAATACCAACTGTTCTCTTTAATTCTCCCCTTTTCTCTTTTGTGCTGATGCACATGTGACTATTTCTACTTATTTGCCCAGTAGGAATTTTCTGATTTTTGGTACAACAGAAGGGGTTGTATTCTTTGGGAAGCCTTCATAAAATAAAAAAGCCCTGTTTCAAAGAAACCCCTGCAAAGGCAAGAAAATGGATGGCCTGTCCATTTATAACTACTCTGACAGCGGTAAGTCTGGGGACTACAGAGCTGTCACCCTATAAAATGTAGTTAAGTGTTTAAAAAATAACAGCCCTCTTCAACTGACACACAGAGCCGGCCCGTACCCACACCACCTCCATGCATGGCCATGATGCAGAGCACTGATGTGCTCACCTGTCTTCACTAAAGATGAGACTACTTACATTCCATCTAACTTAAATTTTAGGTTTTCTTCATTTGTGCTCTAATTCTTTGAAAATAGATACATGTACCAATACATATGATTACCCATAGCATTTTAGACCTTGATCATACATGTAATAATAAAACTTAAGGAAGATAGTAATTATATTATGATGATCAACTTAAAAATGCTGCACTAACATTTTGACTGCATCTACCATGTGAATTCTTTCATTGCAGCTACATAAGTTCCATAATGTCCTCTCCTGGTATTATAGTCTTTAAACAAATTTACAGGTTATCATTATTTCCAAAAAATTCTTTGAAAAACTGAATGTTAAACAAAGTGAATATTGACTTATAATACCTTTGTATTTAGAAAATTAGTCCTTTGATTTCACTGGTTCAACTTTATTGGTACTTTCACCTCTATAAGAAACCCATTGTGGCGTTTAGATAAGGGGATGGGAGAGTGTGCATTTTTTTTTGTGAATAGCCTGAGGTGTTTTTCTGCCCCATCCCAGTGGGCTCTAAAATACCCTCTGCAGCTGGGCTGACATGTTCTCATAACAAACTGGCCTCCATAAGGGCTCCCAGATGGTACAGGACTCACTGCACAGGAAGCACACTGGGAAACCCTGCCCGGCCTTGCCATGACGGTCAGCCCTTAAGAAAAATAAACTGTTGCATGGAGGAACGGCACTGGTTTGAAGACCTGAAATAAGCCTACAGTGAACCATAATCATTAAAAAATTACATATAGTTTTTAAAAAGCAAACAAAAATACTTACTGGAACATCAACATATTTTGCAGCTGCTTTCACCTTAAGTGGAAAAGAGATAATTATAAGAATTATTTTTTAACTGTCAATAAATACTATGACAACAGTCAAAAGGCAGCCGGAGAAAACTTGTTTGAATACTTACGGTGAATGACAGAATGGATGAAAAGAAAGTGCCTTCGTCATATCTTGACAGCTTCGACAACACCCCTTCCAACACTGCAACAAACTGTAAGTGGTTTACGGTGAGTATTAGAAAGCGACTGTGCACACAAACTAGCCAGAGGGCAAACGATTCCCGAGACGACCCGTGCCAAGGCACAGAGTCCACAGCTCACAGACCGACAGCTGAGGGGCTGCCTCAGGATGCTCACCCTTTCACTCTGAATATGAACTCTGAGGTCCCTTCCAGTTTCTGGACATGACACAGGCATTTTTAAATCCAGGAGAATAATATGTAATAGGAGTCTGGTCACTATATGTGAAATAACTTAAACCATTAGTAAGCGACTTTAAATTCCTGAGCCTATACCTTTTTTTTTTTGCTTTAGAAATAAATAATTTATTGTTTTGGAGAGTATCGTGGAGAGCAGATAGTTACCATAAAATATCAATATATTTTTTTAATTTTATTTATTTATTTTTCAAGAGAGGGGAAGGGAAGGAGAAAGAGAGGGAGAGAATATCAATGTATGGTTGCCTCTCATGCATCCCCTGCTGGGAACTGGCCTGCAACCCAGGCATGTGCCTTGACTGGGAATTGAACCGCAATACTCTGGTTCGCAGGCCCGCACTCAATCCACTGAGCCACGCCAGCCAGGGCAATATCAATATTTATATGTATAATTTTAATAGACAAAACCAACATATTTTCTTAAACACTTAAAATCCAGCTGTTTTCTTCTCTCCATTATTTTATTGTTTTTCGTTGAATTTATTGAGGTCACACTGGTAACAAAATTACAGAGCTTTCAGGTGCACACTTGCACAGCAAATCGTTTGTACCCTGTATTGTGCGTGTTCACCATCCCCAGGCAAGGCTGAGACTATCCCTTTAAAACAATTTTGAAGTTCAATACAGATATTTAGAAGTTCTGATCACAATAAAAAATTGTAAACATATTTGAGGACAAACGCTAACTAGACTTATTGTGATCATTTCACAATATATACAAATATCGAATCATTATGTTATACCCTTAAAACAAACATTAGTATTTTAGGTCAATTATTCCTTAATAAAAAAGATAATTAGAAGTAATGATGGTCAAGCTTAATCAGATTCCTTCTATCATATATCACTTGGCCAATCCCTAACATTTTCTATCTACAGAAGGTGTTAAATACTTTAAAAAGAACAGATAATGCCATGTAACATTTGGGCTCTTGTAACACTAAAATAAAGTCTGACATTAGTTAATAAACATTTACCAAGCGGTTCCAATGGGACACATAAGGATCATTCCCTGCTTCCAAAAGCTTACAAAGGTGAGAGCTAACACAGGTACACGCACTGCAGGGTACAGTAGAAAGAGCCCTGGACTGAGAATGGATGTCCTGGTCCTGTCACTGACTGCACTGCGTGAGCTCAGGGCAACCACCGCCCCAGTCAGTTTCTCTACAGGTTACATTGTGTGTGCGCATGCATGTGTGTGTGTGTGTGTGTGCTGGGGGTGGGGCACATGGAATAAAAATTAGTTTCAAAAGTGCTCTACATTTCTAAAATTTTATATTTCCATGGGATAAAAGTTAAGACACATACACTGTAACAATTAAAGTGTGGAGAATTTTACTTTGTTGAGTAGAAAAGTTAAGATCTGGCATGAATATAAAGATATATCAATAAGGACTACTGCCCTACATCCTTTCTCTTTACACCTAAAATAACATGCACTATTGACAAATTATACTCTCCCAAAGGGAAAATACTGAGAAGGTTTTTTAAATACGAAAAGGGAAATTAACAAAGGCTGCTTCTTGTTCACATAGCAGCTTCTTCAACAAAGTGGTAACAGTTCTAGGGACAGGGCTTATTGGTCTCTGGTGACGAGCAGGCTCACTGAGAGTGCACAGCGGATCCGCTGTTCTCTGCGGCTGGTCAATTACTGCAAAATAGTTTATGCAAAAGAAACAAAAACTTCCCTGTAGGTTTCTCCATCACATCATTTGCGACATGATGTAAGAACACAGAAACAAAACCAGGCAGGCTGCTGACTAATTTTTTATTTTTAAAGAATGAGAATTATGTGTGACTGGTTAGTTATCCTAAGGGATACAAACAGCAAAAAAACATAAACTTACAAATTAACTCACAACTAAAAGTCAATTTAGCACCTTCTTCCAGCCTATTAGAATTTCTTACCAATCACAGCTGGCTAACTCAACTTGATGTGCTTTGCAAAGACCCAAAAGGCCAAGCCTCAAGGGCAATGTGAGACCAGGGGAAGGGAATTCCAAACTTAATGGCCCTCTGTGGAAAACGCCTCACCTCCTATAACTCAAGTCTTAAGAGCCAGTGTGTGCTGGGTGATCTCAAGTGCCATGAGGCGTACAATTGCTATGGTTACCAGACAACCCGAACCATTGAAGGCTCTGGCATAGCATCTGGTTCTTGGTGCTTTCAAGTGACTGTATGTTTACACATGTAAGTGATGCTGAGGGACAAGGCGAGGAAGAGGCAAGAACCCTGTGAGTAGATTTAGATGATCTGAAAGCAACTTGAAGCTCTGCCACTGTTGATATGAGACAACAGTGGAGACATTTAACTTTTAGTGTATTTATCAGTAAAAGGGGAAAATAACAGCTGTCCTGCCTGTTACAAGAATGGTGTGAAGATCAGTGAGACGATTTATGTGAAAGGACAGTGCAAATGGCAAACTACTAAAGAAACAGAAAGAATTAATACTATTGATGTGATTAGCTAAATCACTATCCACTATATAAGTTAAAAAACCTATGTTTAAGTCACAAATTAATGGGGCAGTGTTAGGATTGTTTAGCGATAAAGAGTAATAATAAGTTTGGTTGTCAGTGACTATGTCCAATTCAATTAAATGATATCTATGAAGGCAGAACAAGAGTTGAGACTGTAAGTCGCAAGATTTGCATTGGAATGCCCATCTGTTTCAAGGGCATTTGGCTGATGGTAGAGGAGCAAGGCTTTGAACCCACATGATCTGGCTCCAAAGCCCATGTTCTTTGCCATCTTACTACAGAGTGGTAAGTATTGAATGAGGTGATATAAGTAATATACCCAGCATATAATACGTGCTCAATAAATACCACTTTGTTATAATTATTTGTATTGAACACCTAATACAAGAAAAAATATGAGTCTTAGACCCCTTCCCTCCGGGAGCATACAAACAAGTGAGAGAAACAGATGTGTATACAATTGCTCAAGACAAAAGGCAGAAAGTGTTAAGGGCTGGTGCAGATGGGCAAACAATGCAATTGAAACTGGAGGGAGGAAACAATGACTTCTACTGGAGGATAGCAGACAATCTTCATTTACAAAATGACACAGGAGCTGAGCCACAAAGTAGCAAATACAGACCGGATAAATGACACTTGGGGAAGCCCACTGGCATGTGAATGTAGGGCAGAAGTTCGCCACTGTGGCACCCCGCCAGCCTGTCTGGCTTGTCTTCTCTTCAGAGTATGAAGCAGCCTTGGGTTGTACCCCGTGGTGGGCTGCATGCATGGCACAGCATTCTTCACTTCCATGTGAACCATAGTGGAGAGCCTGTTCTTGGGTTCCTCCCTTCCCCCACTGGCCCCTGGGGAGGCATGATACAGCTGGGACTCTAAGGGCTCACATGGCCATGAACAGCTGCAACTCTGGGATCATGAAGTTCCTACAGGAAGACTATTCTTCAAGATTTTTGTTGAGGTACACATGGCAGAACAGCTACCGTAAAAACTAAACTCCAGCCCTGGCCAGTGTGGCTCGGTTGGAGCCTCAACCCATACGCTGAAAGGTCTGGGGTTTGACTCCTGGTCAGAGCACATACCTAGGCTGCTGGCTCGATTCCTGGGCAGGGCACATGCCTAGGTTGAAAATTCAGTCCCCGGTCAGGACTGCCAAGTATGAGAGGCAATGTATCAATGTTTCTCACTCACATCTATTTTTCTCTCCCTCTCACTCCCTCCCTTCTCACTTCAAGGTCAATAAGCATGTCCTTGGGTGAGGATTTAAAAAAAATAACAAACTCCACTAACATCATCAAGAGTGGCTAATAATAATATATTTTCCATCTAGATTTTAATCGCACAAAACAGCAAGATTCCAAAGAAATCCAGTTCAGTGCTGAGTTTAGCTGCCGTGTCTTTAACTGCTTCCTGTGAACTTCTCCACACAGCTCAGGGAGTATGTAAGTACTTATGGGCCTGCCCTGCGTACTCTGTTCTCCTGAGGGTGTCTGGTTAAAACGAAACACTATAATCTCTTTGTTTCCCTGTCCTTTATTGTGGATGCCATTTACTGGGTTTGTTTGAATAATATTTAACACCTAAACTGTCTGGGTAATTACCAACTTTGCTTCACCATGCGTACTCTCAAAGAAATTACAGATGAAAGTGCTTTGAAATGACTGGTAGAATCAAACATGGAATTTGCAACAAGGCACACTGGTTTAAATTTTCTGTTGAATTTTAACAGGGTAGAAGATTCATTTTCCTACAGGTTTGAGAAGTAGAAACAAGGCCTGAAAAGTGACAGGGAGGACTCCTGCTGCAGCCGAGTGGGTTCAGAGCACAGCAAACCAGGGACACCTGCATCATCAATGCTGCGAGTTATAAAATCTGCCACAGGAAAGAGATTCATCCGTAAATATGATGGGTTGCTGAGGGGGGTGTTTTTTTGTGGGGTATTTTGCTTTTAGTGGGGCTAGAGATATCTATTAGAAGATGTTTTATATTTGTTTGGTAAGATCAGGACCAACTACTATTGTTAAAAGTCCACATGAAACCAGAATACCATGGGCTAGAAGAAAATAGGTTTCCTTCCCCGAATAGAAATAATAGTGTCTTTTCCTCAACCTCTTTTCTCCAACTGTGAATCCACTTCCGCTCTGAACCCTTGTTCCAATAACTCATAAAAGATCTTTCCAGATAATACATATGTATTAAGAATGGATAGTATCTGACAGCGCAGATTTATTCATGCTGTACTTTGTTCTAGAAAGTACCTAAAACAACTTCCAAAATAATACGCTGGGCCCAGATGTTGGTGGATTCTCCACACTTCTCTCATTGTTCCTTTTCTCCTTACCCTACAAATAGTGACTAATTTTATATTTCCTCTTTCCTAATGGCTCCTAATAATATGTTATTCTTTTTAAGCACATACTTAGAGTTGAATAGGTGTCTTCTGAGTACATGGACTTGATCCAAAAAGTAAATTTAATCAAATTAATCTCATCAGGTTGAGTTGGAAAGATTTTTGATTACATCACCTAGACAGGCTGAACTTGTCCTCTGTTCACATCCTTCTTTAAAGACATTCAGGGGGAAATATTCTAGATTATCAGAAAGAATATCTCTGTGTATGTATAGTTATACCTATATAATTATATATCTATATCAATACGTACTTAGTGACAAAGTGCAAATTCTTTTTTAAATCCCTTTTTGCAATAACTGAGGAGTTAGGAAGTTGAATATATTGCTGTGATCTTTTCATTCATACCCAGAATTCACTGAGCCCCTACCGCCAGAGTGCAACATGGGAGTAGTCATTTTCTCATTGTTTGTTCTCTCGATCGCTCCCTCCCAGTGTCTGTGCAGCATCCCCACATTACCACAATGAATTCTGCTCTCATCACGTCGCACACAGTGAACTCCACTCTCACCTGCCTGACCGACCGTGGCCCTGCCTGTCTACCTGCCCAAGCTGGTCCCACAGCACGTATGCCTGTGTGCAACAAATATTACCGGAGGGACACACAGGCTGGTCAGTACAAACCAGATGTAAAGGGGGCGTGAGGAAGCTGGGAACGGAGCTCTTATCTTTTCCTCTCCGGTCTTGCTGAGTTCTGGGTGGTACTGTGTGAAGATTATAGGCTTAGGGCCCCTGCAGGTCAATTTCCAGCTTGGTGGCTATCTACTGTATGACTCTGGACCTCGTTTCTTCATCTGTGAACAAGGGGACTGCACCCTGGAGTGGACTCTGGTGATCAGGTTTCTGCCTTGAGAGAGGAGGCCGCACAGGTAGGGCTTTGGGTCTCTTCCTCTCTTCAATCAGAACAGCTTTGTTTCGATCAGTATTATAGTTCAGGGTGCCACCCGAGATACAATTGAAAACATAAAATATAGCTTATAAACATAAAAGCATGTAATGATCCATCTTATAAGCATCATATAAATACCCATGCCAGATGGTCTCAGGGTTCCAGGTGTAGCATTGTGGGCTACGGGACCGCAGAGTCTGGGGACGAAGGGCCCAGGCTCTCAGAGGCCTTTGCACAGAAATGTACACATCCACTGTAGTCTGAGAATCTGCTGTAGATACACTTTTTTCATCTCCTTCTACTTTTTGGGGTGAGGAAACTGAGTTGTTTAAGGAGACTCAGTATCCCACATGTTGTCCAACTGAATTCATTTTAATAGAAGGTGGCAAAAAAATTGTCATTTGTTTCTTCGGTAAAATGTAATGTTGCTACCATCTTTTTTTTTCTTGGTAAAAATTATCTAAGTCTTTTTTTTGGATAGAGGTATCTTTTTTTGCCCCTTTCTTTAAGGGGCACTTTTTCTATTTAATTTCTTTACTTCCATAGGGGTTCTAGTTATGGGAAATGTATGAGAACAGCAGGAACTGTTATACAGCAACCACACATACGCCTGAGATTAGCAGCCACTGATACACACCCACTTCCAATGGTGGAACTCTTAGAATCACATTGATATTTTGATCCCGTACATTTCCGAACTCCAGACCCAAGTATCTGAATGTCTACTTAGCATCTTCTCCTCCAGAGGTCTCAGTGGCAGCTCATCTCGCCTTGTCCAATACTGACACGTCATGGTCTTTCCCTCAAAATGTGCTCCTCTCCCAAGGCACCCTGCATCAATATCCATCTTGTGTTTCAAGCCATAAAATGGAGTAATTTTTAATGTTTTCCTTTCTCTCCTCACCACCGACCCCCTGTCCTAGTCTGTTCAGGCTGTTATAACAGAATACAATAGACTGGGTGTCTTATAAACAACAAACATTTATTGCTCACAGTCTGGAGGCTGGGCAGTCCACAGTCAAGAGGCTGGCAGAGTTTGTGTCTGGTGAGGACCCACTTCCTGGTTCACTGGTGCTGTCTGTGGCTGTGTTTTCACATGACAGAAAGGGCCAGGGAGCTCTGAGGGGTGTTGTTTATTAGGACACTAATCCATGCGTGGGAGCTCCAACTCATGACCTAATCACCTCTGAAAGTTCCACCTCCTCATCCATTACAATGGAGACTATTAGGTTTCAACATATGAATCGAGGGAGGGGAGTACAAACGTTCAGTCTATAGGATCTCTGTCCACTGTATACCTTAAATGTCTTTGGATTAGTCTACCAGAGACCAATGAACAGCCACTGCCCCTTCTCTAGTCTGTTTGCTGCAGGCAATCAAATAAGTGTTCTGACAATGCAAATAGGACTGACTCCCTACCCTACGCCCTGCCTCTCCAATCTTTCAGTGACTTCCTCTTGCTCTGGGCTTTCAACCATAATTCCACACTTCCTCTCAAAGACAAAACTGGAAATTCTCAGCATATAGTTAAAGCCAAAAGTGTGAAAGTCACAGAGATTTGTGCAATGAGTTAAAAAAACCCAAGAAATACCACAACAAACAGGCTACATTCAAGGAATGATAACCTCTTGAATCAGCCCCACACAGAACACAGTTGAACATGAATGTGAAATATAGTGTTACTGGAAGATAAAGCTGTTTTTAAAAGAATAACAACGGCAAGTAAAACAAAAATTAATTATAAACAAAATGTCAAAAGTTGTTGACAAAGAGAGTTCATATTTTGCTTGTTATTTTCTTATAATTTGAACTTTTATTGCCCCTATTTTAAACTACTATTTCTCAATTAGGTATTTAGAAACATAAGAAAGATATTTCTAGAGATTCTCAGTTGAAAACAATTTTTAAATTTGATTTAAAAAGGTGAACAAATAATACATTACCTTTGAAACTAGCAGTGAAATAATTTCTTTTACAGTGTTGTCAATCAAATCATCTATTTTTGAATGGTACTGTTGCTAGATATTAAAAAACAAAGATGCATTAGTTAATGTGGACACTTTTATCATAAGTCATAAATGCTTTAAAGCTACTAGTTATGACATATCAGATTAACTTAAAATGATCATTTTGAACATTAGAAGAACAAAACCTTGAAAATGATCTACCCAATCAACACTTTTCACATTGTTGTTTGAAAATTTTCCCATGTGCACTGTTGAGTTAAGCAGCTAATGGGGTTATTATATAGATGAATTGAGTTTTTATTCTTATTCAGGCAGAGGAATGTGAAGGATACTTTTTGTCTCCTCCTCTATAATTAAGGTGGCCATGTATTTTTCTAAAGGGTTGGTTTAGCTGGAGAAGCAAAAAGACTAGAAAAAGATTTAATTAATACAGGATTTCATGTCTGACAACTCTCATTCAATAAGTTATTTTAAATGTGCTCCAGAAATAAAATGAGCTCCCAATTGTTCACTCAGAAAGGACTTTTTTTTGTCAGTGCAGGGAGCAGCAGTTTATACAATTCTTACAATATGCTCAAACAAGGGCAAAATTAAAATTTCATCAGCAAAGGTGAATAGATGGTAACAAATTAATAGTCCATAAAAGGTATAATGAAACAGCACTCACCCCCCATCATTTTATTATTGCTTCCTCATGATAAAGGTGTGTTTTAGTAAATGCAAAAAAAGAGAGATGTATTTAAAATAAACCTGAAAGACTCTTTTTGTTTGTTTGTTTTCTTTAGAGAATACTAGAGAGTTCCATTCTTAAATTAGCAGGAGCTTCAGCTTCTATGGCTCCATGTGAAGGCACATTCATTTAAACAGTAATTCTTCTTTTAGAAGCATTTATCTGACAGCCAATTGTCCCCAATAGCCACTTCACAGAAAATGTGACTTGTAAAGACTAACCCTATCTTGATGGTTCAAGGCTTCTTGGAACAGCTAACATAATGCATGGAGTAAAAGTACTCAGGTCAGTATAAACATTAGACCAACTTAACAGCTGCTGGTTGAATGGTTTGCTAAGATGTAACTTTTTGAAAGCTATTTTTTCTTCTGAAAACATGTCTCAAAGTTTCCATACAGAACAAAACATCAACTGAGATCTGCTTTGCAATACACAGAAATGATTCCTTCCCATGAGTTCTGACAGTCACCAATAATCATATACCTCCATAAGTAATAAAGAGAAGATAATTTTGGAGCACGTGGGTTATTTTCTTTCTCTGCCTCTGTGTGTGTGTTGACAAGTGGTATGAAATGAACAGACATGTCTGAGTGTGCAGCTTCCTGGGCATGTGTTTCATCCAGTAAAGTGAAGGACTAAGTGTCTGTCTCACTTAAAGCCTTGCTGATTACCTAACTTGTGCTCTGCAGAGAACAAATGGAACAAATGACACTGTTGCTTTTAGAAAGCTTGAAGAAAAGCAAAAGGGGAGAAAATAAAGAAAAAGAAAAGGTAGAGAAGAAAGAGCCTGAAAAAGCTGGTTGGTCATTGAAAAGGCCAGAAGCCCTCCACAGAGACAGGCACACAAAAAGGCTGTCCCCTCAGCCCCTCTCAGCTGACTGGGAGGTGGAGTTCATGTAAATAAGCTCTGTCCCTGCTCTCCCTCTCCGCCACCCTGTCTCTTGACAGTCTCCCCTTCTCCCTTCGAACGTGTGTCTGTGCAGCAGGGAAAAAGGAAATGCCAGACTGAGGCTCCCTATTCTACTGGGGCAGAATAGAAAGGATGACAGCAGATGGGCTTCCAGTCTCTCACGTCTCTCTCATGTGGAGAGTGCTATAGAAGAGTCAGAGATGAGGCGCCGAGACCTCCAAACGGTGCTGTATTCTCAAATATGCCTGATCCTCATTGTTGATCTCTATTTGCCATAAAGTTCTTTTTTTTTTTTTTTTTACCTCAGAAGTAATCAAATGTCATTAGAAGCCCACTGGATATAAAGTAATAGAGCTTCTACGTGTGAGACCTTAAGGTTGGACCAATTTTGGCAATTCTTAAAAATAAAGAGATGAGCCACAAAAGAGGTCCCTTTACTGAAAAGCAGAGAAAGCCACAGACCCTGGAAGCCATAAAATTCTCCCATAATACATACTTTTAGACTGCTGTTTTGGTACTTGATCTAGCCAACATCAGAAGGGAGAAGGGGGCTGGGAGAGGGATAGAAAGTTCAAAAGAAAGGAAGAAAAGTATGCATCTTAAATGTGCTACTTAAAGGGCAAACCCAAACAGGATAAGGTTTGTTAGGTTTGCATGATATCAAATTTTGCTATTGTAAATTTATCTGATTAGCTCTGACTGACACTAGTATTCAATGTGAATGTCATTGGAAACTTCCAGAATCTGCTTTAGCTGTGTAGTTGGTGCAGGTAGTCTAGGAGCACTGTGGGTAGGAATGGGGAGGTGGCCTCAATTTTCATATTTTAGATATACATTTTGTGAAGAGAATAACCCACACATGCCACTTATAGGTAATAGAAAATTAGCTAGAAAAAGTTATTTATTAGGGGATCCAGATAAATACAAACACACTAAAAGAGAATGCAAACAGGAACAGAATTTATCTGCAGAGACATTTATGTTACCTAAGCTAAAATGGATAGATTTTTTTCATTTAGATTGCTAAATCAAATTTTTTACCAAATTCTGCAAAGGTTTTATGTGTAACAATAGAAAAGCTATAAAATTCTTACACTGCTTCACGTTCAATCCATAATCCTGCATACCAGAGCTTTGGTGGGCTCCAGACCATTCTTAGACTATTTTCTCCACATCTGCCCTCAAAAGTACACTTGGTGCCTTGATTTCCCAGTAGGCAGCTCTGAATTAGGTTAAAAATGACCTTGAGGAATTCTGCATGAAGCCCTGGGAATTCAGATATCAGGTACAGGTCTGAAACCCTGGCCCCCATCACTCGGCCCTCTGGTAAATATCTTCATTTTACCAAACTGCTCTTAGGTAAATACACAAGAAATGAAGACCAGTCAAATGCCAGTGTAATCCAGCATTCTTAAAAGGTTTTGGTCCTTCTCTTGGGATGAATTTTAAACATACTGGATTGCTAGTTCTGGAAGTGGGAGTATTTTATTGTAATTGAGAACCAATCCACTACAAGTAAATCCCCTGACACCCACACCCCAGCCTGGGGTGCCATTAATGCACTTTCATTCTCAGTGGATGGCCATGGGTGCAGTGGCTCTGAGGGCAGGTGACTGGGCAAGGCCGTGCAAGGCCATGAAGTTACCTGCGTTTCTGCAGGAAGAGATAATGAGGATTTCTAAACACTGGTGGTTCTGTGATCACAACGCCCGTCCCTGAGGGACTGGCCTGAGATTGCTGACTCATTACACACACCTGTCACATGAGCTGATCGTTCGCTCACTAATCACTCCATTACACACCACAGTCTGGGTTGTGGCTGAGCAGGTTTGCATCATCCTGCACCATGTAAGAAAACAGAGTAATAACTCAGGAGCACAGAAGGGGCTGCCTTGTAGGCAAGAGTCAGGAAGGTTTTAATCCCTTGACATTGACAATATAACAATTTACTGGAGATGTGCAGAGGTAATTCCCTTATAATTTAGAAGATATCTCTGCTAGGTTTATCGATTTAGCATACTTCTATATACAGGGCCCAGCACAAATAATGCCCCTCTTTTATTACAAAGCCATAAGCATGTAATTCTGTAACATAACAATATCACACTCAAGCACACCATATGACATTTTAGGTGACATGTTCAAATTAAAACTATAAATTATCACACCCATATTATTACCCTACCAACCACACTCAAGCAGGCCTTACTTCTGCTGGACCCAGTGTTTTACAAGGCTCCAAATTGTATTCGGAGTTAGTATTTTCAACAATTTATTTGTTGCTTACAAATGGTCTGGAATGGGGCCTACTAGCTCATCTATGCATATGATGTATTTACTAATTTGCAACAGTTCTGTAACTTATCTCAAGAACATACAGAACAGGAAAGCCTGTGTAATTATGTGGGTATTATTTACTGGGGATTAAAAGCAAAGTATAAAATCCTTCTTTTGCATTGAAATTCTTGTTTACCACTTTTCAGGGTTGCTAATAGCTTTTACACCTGCACGTTTTGAACTATATTAATTGTGTGAAAGTTGTGGGGAATTAATTGTCTCTGGTGAGAAGGTACAGGTGCAGACATAATGAACAGTAGCAGATTACTCTTCAAAAACCATCCACCCATTAATGTAAAGAATCATTTGACAATGCACTGATGTTTTGTCATTTGTGTATTGCCTGTTTCTTTTTAAATACCAAAGTTGCTTCTGACAGGGAGGATTTTTAAAGCAGTGACAACAAATCAGTGTGTTTATTCCACAAATATTTACTAAGTGTCTATTGTGTGTTAGGTACTGCAGTGTGTGTTAAACGAAGAACAAATGGATAAACCCAGTATTAATGGGAAGAGACAAGATGATTCTATAAACCTGATGAGAAATAGATGGGCTTATTATAAAGAAACTTGAGACAATATTCTCAAGCAGACAATCAAAGGCTTACATCTGAGTACTGAAAAACATGAGGAGGTGAAGATGAGCCATTGATACCCAAACCAGCTGCCTTTTTATCCAGATAATTAGAGATAGTAAATTATGTTGTAAATGATCAGAGAATAATTACTGAACACTCAACAAATCTAACATATCAGTCACTTAATATGTATAATCATATGCTATGGTATTAGAAATACATCTCCCCCCACCGAATTGCCCAAAGAAGGAAATGTGTTTATATACACATAAATTATGATGAAATAGCTAATGCCTATATCTGGGTTAAATAAGTATGAAATTCACAAATGGTGGGCCTCCCCATCCATTTTCACAGTTATCTAAACCCTTTAGCTTAGATGAGAATTATTAGCCCAGTAAACAGTTGACTGAGTTTGACCCCCAGGTGTCAACTGTAAGACTCATGAGATTTAATTTATCCATATGGTGCAAAAACATTTTGACTTATAAATGTATATATAATCTATTCAATTCTGTATGCATAAATGCTTTCAAACCATGTTCCTCTGAGGTTCTGTGTGGTACCTGGAGGAAACCTTGTGTTGGGTGGGGGAAAGGCTCCTGACAACCATCTTCCTCTTTCTTCCCTGGCTGGCAGTCACCTCGAGGCTATGAGCGGGAGGACAGACTGCTTCATGTGCCTCACTGAAATCCACAACTGGGTCCTTCTGCCTGAAGTGACTCTGGGAGTGCCTTTATGGTCCCTGAATTTAGAGGTTACCCTGATAATGCTGTATGTCCTTTAAAGCCCAACACTCTAATTTTTCTAGAATTAAAGCATATATAAGACACATGAATTCTGAAAATGTTAATAATCATTCTGCTTCTGAATTTATTTAGAACTTATTTTAAATGAAAGTGAATTCGTTTGGTCTTGTATAGTTTTATCTTTAAAAAAAATCTAAGTTTGCAGATTCTGCAGCCTAACAAGGAAGAAACATTCCTCTTGGCATTACTTAAGGTGTAATAATATCTACATATGCTTTCATGTGTCTGGGGGCTATTGCTATATTGTAGGAAGTCACTAGCATTTTACTCACACAGAAACCAACAACCTGAAAATGGAATTATGTTCATTTTAAAAGGTAAAAACAGAAAATGTACATTTATGAAAACAATAAATGGGAATGTAGTTAAAAAATGAAACTTACCCATTGACTACAACACTGGATCATGTCATGGGAAAAAAAAGATGGTGATGGCGAACATAGGGAAGAGTAAAGAAATGATGAAAAAGTAATTACAATGGGAAAAGAGGCAACAAAATGTCAACTTAAACAGATAATCTAAGAAAAATACATCCAAATTTACCCAATCATGACTCTGAACAAAAATAAATCATAGGGTAAAATAATCTATTTCTGAATGTAGACACAAACAAAATGTTTATAAAATTGAAACAATGAGACAGTTATTGAAAAGAATAAAGCCTAATTTTCTATTATATTTCAACTTGCTCTTTAAAAATAGAAACTTTTCTGTAAATAAAATATTTCCTATGCTATTTTCTGTGGCTTGTCTTTTGGATGCAAACTCTGGATATGCTAGATTTGTATAAACAAAGCAGGTAGCTTTCTCATTTGCTTGTGAAAAGCAAGTTTATGTAAACACATAACACCTAACCTGTTAAAAATCATATCTGAACTCCATAGGCACTTGCAAATTTTAGGCAGTCTTTATAAAAAAGAAGAAATCAATAGAAACAAAGGATAAAGGGCACTTCCTATGAGGGTGAAGAAAAGACCAAACACTTATATTGGAGAACTTGGCCTTTTGTAATCCGATCAAGGGAATGACTTCTGCAAACAGCATCATCTGTTGCCGGGCACCCATGCTGCCTTTCTGTTTGTGACACTCCATCCACTTACCTCTTGTCCTGCATCCAGGGCACAGAGTTTGGTGCTTTGCTTTTTGGCATCAACTAACACGTTAAACATTGTACACACAGAAGCTGGAATGCGCAAGTCAGTGGTTTTGTTTGCCTTTTGCAGCTTGAGTTCAAATGCAGTTCTTGTTCTGGTCATTAAAACATGAATTTAGAGTAAGAAATTCTGACATACATCCCACCTGTTTTGTAAAAGTGAAATCAACACTACGAGATGCTGATTTAAAACATGCAAATGAGGAGTGTGGCCGTGCTTGGGAGCTAGGGTGGGACGCTCTTCTTTTCAGGTGTCTCGTGAAAGATCAGACTGCAATATTTTCTATTAAACAGAACTTTTTCAGTCACTCAGGCAATATCTCTACATAAATAAAACTATTTCCTACATTTAGTGCATCACTTTTAATGGAAAAATCTCCTAATCTCACTTAACTACCTGAATTAATGTCCAACCGGACATAATGTCCAATTGCTTCTCTGTATGAAAGCGGACCAAATCCTCCATGCGAAGATTTATTACCAAATCAAAAAAGTACAAGTCTGGAAAACTCTAAAACATCACAATGTACAACACAAAATGTACATCACTTAGTTTCTTTTTCAAATACCTGAGGTTGCAGTGACACTTTGAAAGAAATCACATCACAGGAATTGGATGTTTGGAATTGGTCTTGATAAGGATTCAAAGAATATCCACTGATCTGAGACATCAGAATCACAGATGAAGAACATGATTAAAAAAAATCTAACCCATGGCCTTGCCTTGGAAGGCCATCGTTATTCAAATGGCAGGATTTTCTAGCTTTAAATAATTCAGGATTACTCCATTGCTCCAGCCAGTGTGTGTTACTGCAATACGCTGTCCCACCTTGTTCTTGTACATTTCATGAACATGGGTGATGAAAAACCATGCCTGGCTAGTAAGGAGGCAATGCTGATTTTGTGAGGATGATTAAACAATGAAAGCACATTTGGAAGAATCCAAAGCTACGTCACTTATTTCTGGTTAGCTTTGAAGGATGAGCAGGGATGCCTAGAAATCATCTGATGGAGAAAGAGGATACAGAAAACATAACAAGTGCTGGCACCCACCATCCTCAGAATTTGCTGTGCCATTTCACAGCATGCGGACACAGTACATGATGCACAAAGTACTTAACAGACCTATTCCTAATGTCTCAGGAAGTACTGCCTTAGGAATTTAAAGCACAGTATTCCCAGAGAAGGAACAAGAAACACAACAGAAATGATTAATGTGGTGTGGGTGCTACTGATAAGGGCAATGGTTAGGAGACCCCAAAAAACTATCAGGCCAAGTTTATGAGTCATGCAGGTCCCCAGAGTTTAGTTTAGGGAACCCAATGTTCATTAAATTTCAGAACAGTAATACATACTGGAACCTTTCTGGTGACAATTACATGAGAGGAATGTGGTAGAAAGTGGTTTTTGGATGCTGGCATGTTAAGCAGTAACTTGAAAATACATGTCTACCTTTTGACACAGGCTTCTATCATATCACTGGCCATTAGTTTGAGTCTTTGCTCTAAGTGGTGGGCAAATTCTTGTTCTGGCCAGTGTAGATCAAAGACGAACATTTGCAGTGCATCAAGTTTCCAAAAAAGGTCTTCAGATGTTGCTGAGCCATTGCTAGAAGGAAAAGAAAAAATGGAGAACATCATGAACTTCCACCGCTAGCTCTCTAGATTAATACACTGTCCCCCGCCCCACAGTTTTGTACGAACTGCCATCAGTGAAGAAATACCACATAAAGTCTCCAGTGACCAAGCGTTTCTTTGTTCAGCCTTCTAATGCTTCTTTTTCACTTCTTAATAAATAAGGCAAGGCAAGGAGAACAAAATAGGAATAAATATACAACAGGACGGTTTCATACAAAGGTATAAAACGGATAAGGATACTTTAGTAAAGAAATCAAACTGTGTACAAAAGAAGAAACACAAAAATTTTTACTAATATCTAGGATAAATATACAAACATTTCCTTCTAAAAATTCAGGAACGTGTGTTTTATGTGAGTAAATCCATATGACAGCATCTACTAGCTTTACTCTTCTCATGGGTATGTGCCCCTGCCATCATGATGGATGACCGCTGCCTGTCTGCAGGTGTGTAGCACACAGAGCCCTTAAACTTCTCAATTATAGGTAAAGATGAAACAGGTACTGGACATGAAATAACAGGTGGGGTAGGGAAGAAGATCTTACTTCTATTTTGAAATGCTTTGTGCCTTTTTCTAGCTCATAATTAAAACTAACAGCACAAGGTGTTGTCTAACACAGAAATGACCTTCACGGTGCTCTGAAGTGGAGTAAAATTGTGTATTTCAGGTCCTTGCATCTCTCTAACTGTGAAGCCAAGATATACCATGGTAAAATTATATTTTCACTCTATGTATGAAAATAATTTGTGCCAGAGTACATATAATATTGAGACAAAGGACAATACTATTGTTTTCCATTATGCACATATATAGCCTAGTAGAGAAATAGATGTTTTTAGAGTAAAATACTCCTTTACTAAAACATATTGAAACTTGAATGTAAAGAGAACAAAAGGTAAAAAGTGGCTGTATGATTCATTTCTCCTCAGTTTTCCAATAATTGCTTAATGTATACTAACCTAATTTTATATTTTATATAGAATTATAGTATGTAAAAGAAACTTTAAAAAATAAAATCAACTCATCACAAGCAAATGGTGGAAAATTTTATAAAAAATAAAATTATTTTAAATAGCCACATTATTTAGATAACTATATCTTAATTAGCTAATTTTAAAAAAAATCACTTCTTTCTCTGGCTAATTAAAAGCTTATTTCTGGTCCTTTGCTCCCCACCCCTCATGCCTCAGCCTCTCGGCTCCATCACCAGTCTCCTCTGCTTTTTTCCTCCTGTTCTGCCAGTAATTCTTCACAATTCCTTGCCTAGCCAGGATGTCCTCAGAGTTAAAGTCTCAAGGGACCAATCAGCAAAGCACTGAAATGACCCATAGCACTTTATTCACTAAATAGCTCTTAACCTTAATAATTAGTGCCCACAAGAACCAGAACAACAGCATGCTGATATTGTGAAAAATATATGAAAAAAATTTACTTCTCATTTTTGTGCTATATATAATAAAATCAGAGAAGAAATTACCAAGGAAAATGCCTCTTTATATCTGCAATGTAATATTTGGTAGATTAGGGGACCTGTGTTTTAAGAATAATTCAATGTAATTGGTGAAGAAGCAAATCTACTTCTTACAATTTTTGCTTAGGAGAAACATAAGGAGCTATTCGAAAAATGTATGCATTCTTTAACAGCATCACATAACAACCACAGCAAAAATCATACTCAAAAAATAAAATCCCAAATAGTAAAGGTAGAACTATTAAAAATGGACTTTCTTATAATATGTAACAATTAAATTTTTATAGAGAATATGGATGTATGTTTCTTTTGCTCTTTAATGCTATGATATGTTTCTGAAAGATAAGTGTGCTTAATTGGGAATGTAATTAAGAAGTGTTTGTTGTAATTAAATAGGTAGGTGAAAAAAATGTCAAGAGGTTTGCACTCAAGCTGGTATGTTTAACATGCCATTTTTCAGAACTTTTTCATTCTAAAATTATTTCTACTGAGTGACTTATTCCTAAAATTATTAACAGAATAAATAATTCAAATGTGAATAACAGACTCAGATAATTTCCTAAAAATGCCATCAAGAAACTTATCTTACTGGTATTCACTTTTAGAACTAAAAAACCCAGAGTGACAATATTATTATATACAGGGAGAAATGTGCAGAAGGACCTCCTGAGGTGATTTATACATTAGTGTATAGGGATACAGCCTCACACCCACAGTTACTTTGATATTACTAATCTTCACTTAATCATTAGTTGTACTTTTAATTCCTTATACATGTGAAGTAGAAATGCTTTTGCTATTTAATGCTTTCTAGCAAAAATTCAAAAAACTAATTGCAATGACATCATTACATTATAAGTAATTCTACCACTTTGACAAAGAGCCTAATGCTGATCATCTTGGTGGGTAAAGATAATGGTCACTAACTTTGAAACATATTTTTTATTTGCCTGGAATGGTGAAAGTATAAGCACTTCCTTTACAAAGCCATGACTGGTCATGACTCCTTTCCTGAGACTCAGGGCAATTTACAAAGGGCTTCCAAAAATGAGATTCAGGGCCCCACACTGAATCTCATTTACCTCAAAGCCAATAAAATAGTGATGACAAAAATCCCTTAACTTTCACAAGGTTATGCCCACAATAGTATTATTGTTTAAAATCAAGATTCTTAAACAAATGATAAATGAAGATGAAAAAAAGTTAAATTATTGAACAATATAAAGAAGTACAAAAAAATCATAAACTTAGAAAGATTCCGTGTACTTCCTGGCAATCCCCGAGAACACACAGACTCCACCTGACACACTGTAATGGCCCAAAGCATTAAGACTAAGATTCACATGTAACCTAATGTCCTAATAAATATTGAATACAATGATGATGTTTAACTTGCAGAAATATTGCCAAACTATTTTGTAAGTTGTTCTCTTTCTTGGTCATTTCTTCTGTTTTTTCCTCTTGACCCCGAGACTAGACTGGGAATAGACTTGACAGGTGATCGGTAGGATAGGTAGGAAGGACACTAAACAAATTCTCAACCAGTCTGTTCTCGCAGAATGATAAGTGAGGATTCTGAAGTCAGGCAGACCTGGGTTCACACACTGCCTTTGCCACTCCTGACTGTGAGACATTGGACAAATCTGTCTCCTGACTTCTGTATGACTTAGTTTCCTTAACTGTAAAATGGAGGTAATGACACTTACCTCACAGGGTTGTTATAAGGCTTAGTACAGTAAATGACTCCTGGACAGGGACAAGGAAGAGGGGCTGGCTGTGGGAGAGAGGGCTGGGCTGGGTGCGCGGGGGAAAGGGGAAAACTTGGGAGAACTGCAGCAGAATAAACAATAGAAATAAGCTGGCATGGTACCTGAAACAATACATTCTCAATAAATTATAGCTGTTTTTCTCCTAATTATTATTCTTTCTAGCTGACTTCATATATTTTGGGCCAAGTATGGGCTATTATTTGGTTCATTTGATTGCTGTGAAGGTCATATTTTAAAAAACTATACTGTTAGGTGATAACTGATGATAACAATAACAATAATTATAGCAATAATAATCATGAAGTAACATAGTAGTAGTTATCATTTACTGAGATCCTAGGATGTACCAAGTACTTTTCATAGCTCTTTTAAAATCCTCACAAGAATGTCTTAAGATTAAGTATTGTATCCATTTCAGAGTTGAGGGAACTGAGGCTAAGGAAGACTCAAAGTTAATCAACCAGGATCTAAATGTGGGACTGATTGATTTGAAAGACCACGTTCTTTTCACTTTAATGACTCTTACTTACTGAATCCACAGTAGGCAGTCTCTTCACAACTTGGAGCTAATAAATATGGTTTTTAGTGACATAAAGTTCAGTTAAACTAACAAGGCACCATCAACTGATACATGAAAAGATGAAAGAAGACCTTGCTGGTGGGAAATAAAGGACAACCCCTTCTCTGAAGCCAGGAAAAATGTTTCTTAAACTAAGATAAAGATAGGAAAAGGTTATATTCTGGAAACTGTTCTTACAATGGTTTTCTACACACACAAGAGCAGGCACGTGGGCAGTTACAAAGCTAGAGCCAGCTCAGGTCCCAAACATACTGCTTCCCACACCGATCATCTGAATTTGGAGAACTCTGGTTATGTCCTTTAGCCAGTCTATACCCTGGGTCACCAAATGACCGTTGCCCCATGAGCTACATCAAACCAAGTGACTATAAAAAAGAAGGCACTATTTATTGTCCATGTGCTAAGCTTAGCTTAATAGCTTAAAAGCAAAAACAGAACCAAAACAGTATTCCTGAACCAACAATGACAAATGCCATGCAGTCTAAATGCGTCTGCATAGAACACAGCCCAGGCCATGCACCAGCTAACACACCACTAGGAAATAAGTGAGGAATACACACGTGGACTCAGATAAAGAAGCCATCCATGTGGGAGTAGAAAGGCTAGGAATCTGTGGAAGATTAAGAGGCAGACTTGGAACTTTTGGAAGAGCTACATTGGGAAGACTGTTGGCGATATTCCTGTAAAGAAACAAACATCGTGGGAAGGGACCACCATGAGCAATAACCACAGCTGGCCATGTGTAAAGTCACGGGGTTGGAAAGACAGAAGAGGCAGGTGCTGGACGGGCAATAGGCTGAATACCTACTTGACAGGCTGCCATGTCTCTTGCTCAAAACCTCTATGAATTGACTGGGCGATGGAGGACTCCATGAGATCCACGTAGCGAACCACCAAGGGCACAAAGATTTCTTGCAAGTGTTTGTGAAACTTTCCATTACATAAAAGTGCTGAAATAGTCAAGCAGAAACAGTGTTTGTCAGAGGGATGATATCAGGCATTTGGAAAATATGGGTGAAAAAACTTTTCCTGAAAGAGTCTGACACAGAACGGATACATTATAGATGGTAACACATCTTGCTCCTCACATTGAATACTGCATTATGAAAACTGATAAAGTGTAATTGACCTTCTATATATAATAGAAACACAAAAACACAAATAGATTATAATTTCAGAAAATGTTTGTGGAAAGTTACGTATTTTTACTTTCTGAGAGGTTTAACACATGAGGTGTATGACCACTTGCTAGAGACTCAAGGGAGCTGCTGGATCCCCTAAAGGTCAGGACACATGTAAATTGAGAAATTATACAGAGTTACATACAAGCCCTGTGCTATGCTGTGTATCACTGCAGAGCTTGGAGCTAAGCTTGATTGCTTTTAAGATAAATACTTGTTAAATTCACTTTTTATTTGTTTGTAGATTTTCTTTTTGAAAATAGTGTGTGTCTTCCATGTGTATCTTTGAAAATAGTCAGATTACATCACATGCATCTTTCCGTTGTCTTTTTGTCTTTAATCCTAACACCCCGTGTGATGGTATTAGGAGATGAGGACTTTAGAGAGTGATTAAATCATGAGGGCAGGACCCTCGAAAACAGGATTAGTGCCCTTTTAAAGGAGATACTGGAAAGATCCCTTGACTCTCTCGCAATGTGAAGACATAGCAAGAAGATGGCTGCCTATGAAGCAGGCTCTCACCAGATGCCAAACCTACTTGTACCATGATCCTGGACTTTCTAGCCTCCAGAATTATGAGAAAGAAATTTCTGCTGTTTATAAGCCACCCAGACTATGGTACTCTGTTAGCACAGTCCAAAAAGACCAAGAGAGTCAGTATGTGCCTATGTTACACCATGAAAGAATACAGAATGTGTAGGAAAATACTAGGTAGTGCTAAGTAATATTCAATAAAGAATTTGTAACTTTTAGATGTCACATATTTTTCAAGCGAACATATCCTAAACCCAATTGTGATTTTTTATAACCCTCAAAATGAGAACATGTTCATTTAAAAAATACGCTCTGTGGTTAGGAAACATATTTTTTAAGAGATTGCATTTTAATTGCAACTAAACAACAAAGGAGTCATCCATGGAAGATTTGGAGGTAAGGTTTCCTGGTAGAGGGAACAGCTAGCATGAAAGTTGTTGGGAGGAATAAGCTGGTGTTCTTTAAAAGGACAAAGAAGCCAATGTGATGCATGTGTCCCTGGGCTCTCTTTATGTCCTCCTTGGAGAAGTGTCTGCTGAGGTCCTTTGTCCATTTTTTAATTGGGTTGTTTGTCTTTCTGGAGTGGACTCATGTGGGTTATTTATATATTTTGGAGATCAAACCCTTGCCCAAGGTATCACTGGCAAATGTATTTTCCCATATGCTTGATTCCCTTTTCATTTTGCTGATGTTTTCTTTAGCCCTGCAGAAGCTTTTTATTTTGACAAAGTCCTCTTTGTTTATTCTTTCCTTTATGTTCCTGACTTAAACGACAATAAATTTTTTTTAAAAAAAGAAGCCAGTGTGGCAGGAGCAGAGTGAGGGAGAGGGAGGAATAGCCAAGGCAACGTCTAGGTGATAGGACATGGTAAGGAGTACGGGTCGAATGGGGTGCAGCAAAATGCATTATTGTTTTTATTATCACTTAGTGGAGGAGTGATACGGTAAAATCTCTTTGTGAAAATCTTCCTGTGTGAAAAATGGAGTAGGTGGCCAAGGGTGGAAGCAGAGAAGGTGGTCAGTGCTCAGTTCTTTACTGCAAAAGACCGGGTAAAAGATGGCGATGATGAAGAGGAGGGTGATGATGGTGGTGACTGTGGTGTCTTGGATTAGAGTGCAGAAGTGGAAGGTGAGAAAAAGGGCCCTGAATAATCTCATTCTCTTTAATGGATTTGAATAGCTAGATGCGCTTATAGTTACTAAATCTAATTACTAGCAACTCTAACACTATTATCTTATAAAACACTCAACTCAGCTAAATATGTCAATATCATCCATAATCTTCTCCAGGGCAACAATACCCTCAAAGCCTAAAGAGATTTTTTTCCTATTTGGGTACAATATGTGACACCATGGTAGAATGACTATGAACATTCCTATAACATATATTACTTTAATTAAGTGATTCTGAAATTTGTCAGAGGCTGGAAAGCTACACAAACATGAAAGTGGAATACAAAGTCATTTTAAATACAGAAAGAAATACAATAATGATATTTTTCTACCTCTAGTCGGTATGATTTAGTATTTTTTGTGGTTAAATAATCTTTTCTGGCTTGTCTGTATGCTAAAAGATTTCCTATTAAAGTGGAACTAATAATTGTATTTAAATATAAATGTCTTATTTAGAAGACTAATGTTATCTTAATGATGTTTTCATTAGCACACTGAAAGAAGCTTCATTTATTCCTGGAGATTCAATCATAGACCTAGAAGATACTATATAGATCATGTAATTCAGTTCCTTTTACTAAATGTCACAAAATAAGAATGCTGAACATTAAGGATGAAACATTTTCATTCAAACCATCTAAATATCTGTGGTGAGCAAATTAAAAAAGATGCCCAAGTCTGTATTTATTAGATTTCTACTTAACAGCTTTCCTTTTTCCTCCTCCTCCTCCTCATCACTAAGCTTTCTGAGTGTTGAGCATCGTGCTAAGTGTCTGACATGCATCCTCTCATTGAATCATCACAAAAACTCTATGAGAGAAGAACTATGGAGCTATACATTTTTCATTTTTCAATCTTATCAATAAGGAAACTGAGGCACAGAGAATTTAGGACACTTGCCCAAGTCATTTAGTTACTAGACAGTAGAACAAGGACTTTATGCTACACTCCCCTCTTGATTTCCACAGAATTATATCATCTTTCAAATTTGTTACCATAAATTATTATCAGTCTGTTTATCCATTTATATATCTGCCCAACCTACCATCATCACATCAGCATCTTTAAGACCTAGAAATGTAATACAGTAAATTGTTTTAAGTAAAAAACATCTTGCAAATGACCAACACATTATACCATATTTTAGATAGACTACGTGTTTTCAAGAGTTAAATATCTGAAAAAATATTACAATATGAAAAAACCAAGAGGTTGAACAAAACTATTATATTCAATGAACTGAAAAATGAATTAGTGATGTGAAAGTATTCAATGTGCTTTTAACACACATTACAAGCAGCACAATCTTACATTTCTATACATCTAGATGGTATGCCCAAACCTTAAGTCATATGGCCCACTAATATAAAATATAAAGAATCTTCAGCTATACATCTTGATAGGCACTGTTAAGCACTGTCATTATTTTTCTACTACTCGAAGACCAAAACACATGCTTATGTGACAAATTATTACATCTACAAATAAGTTCAAATGATACTTTACAATACATTTGGAGATTAGCTATTTATCGTACTTTGCTAAAATAAAAAAGCACATAAGGAAAATCATACTCAATGTTGTTCTTAAATGTCATAAAGATGCTAAGATTAAGTAGCAGTTGACTCAAATGTATTTGTAGCAGCATTTCTCTTTTTTATACACTTGAGCACTGGATCCATTATCCTGTTAAATAAGTCTCCTCTTCTTGTATTCCCATCAAGAGAGTGAAAGTAGAGATTATCCATTGTGTCACCACACCAGTGACTTGGAAGTTGTTCTCCAGGCCTTCGCTTCACTTCCTGCATCCAATTAGCAATCAGGACTTGCGTACTTGATATTCCAATTACCTTTCTGGCACTTCCCCTTCCTCTCTTCATCACTACTGCTGTTGCTCCAGGTCCGGCATTCTCATCTCTTGCCCTGAACAATGCAGTAATCTCCTAACTGGCCTTTAAGCTCCTACAGAGCCTAAAATTTCCTTCTGCCAATTCACCTTAAAATCTCAAGTAGAGTAATTGCTAAAATATAAAATGAATAATTTCCCTTCTAAAGATTATAATCCTCTAGTGGATCATCATGACAAACTCCAACAGCCTTAGCATGTTTGGAATGTCACCCATGGCCTGTCTGAAAATGACCTCCCTGGCTCATTTCTGTTGCCTGACCCCCCTATTTCCTGAGGTCCAATCATAACGATTTTCATGATTCAGTTCAAGTATACATTTTCTCCTCCAAACCTTTCTTGAAAGCCTGTCCCCTAGCCCACTTACTAGTTTCCCTATTTACCTTCTATCCTGTACAGGCTTCCCCTGTGGTCCACATTATACTTCTGCACTTGCTTACATACCTCTTTCTCCCTTCAAGGTCCTTCCTGTGCAAAGTCCTTCAAGCAGAAACCATGTCTATATTCTTAGTACTCAGCAAAGTCCCCGGCTCAGGGCAAGTGGTCAAATGCTTGGTGAATAAATGACTACTTGGTGAATCAATGAATAGTAAGATCACCACATTGTTATTCAGGAGACTATCAGAACCTATTATTGCCTGTGCATCTCTTCATATTTTATATAAAATACATAGTATTAAATAATAATGTCATGAGAAATCCTATTTTTGACCAATATGCCCCAATCAGACTGCTAAAAATTCTACTGAATATGGATGTTGGCTATTTTATGTCTCCTATTTTAATGAAGGTAGCAAAGAGAGAACTTCCTCTGTTCAGTCATGACACCTAGTAGCAAACTACTACAGCCTGCAAAATTCAGGGGAAATGGAGATTCCCTATATTTCTTAAGACCTGTCACAACTGGTGAATTCTGGCCAGATGTCTGCCCATGTTTCAGTACAGTGTTTCTTTTCATATTTAAAAAATCAAGTTATAAACCCATACTCCAAAGTTTTAGAAAACTGGCAATTAGCATTATTTCTTTGGTAACTAGATCCAGAAAAGGGGAGTGGGAAGGGAGCAGGGGTGAGGAGAGGGAGTGGGAGAAAGAGAGACAGAGATAAAGATGAAATAAGAAGAAAGCACATGCTGAGGAACAAAGAAAAGAGAGAAA